GCCCGTATCGCGCGTGAAAATATAAGTCGACGATGGCGGCGGAATGACGAGAAGAAGAAGAAGAAGAAGAAGAAGAAACAAATGGTTAAATATCGCGTCGGCGAACTCGTTCGGATCAGTAGAGCAAAAGCCGCTTTCGAGAAAGGCTACGAGGCCCGTTGGAGCGAAGAGATATTCCGAATTCATCGCATTCTCGAGTGGCGAAAACCGCCTGTGTACGAGTTGAGCGATTTAACGGGCGAGACCATAGATGGCATTTTTTACGAGCAAGAATTAGGCAGAGTCGAGAAAAACCTGAGCGAGGAAGAGTTCATCGTCGATCGCGTGATAGAGAGCAGGGGACGCGGCGCTAATAAACAGCTGCTAGTTAGTTGGCGTGGCTATCCCAGCAAGTTCAATTCTTGGATCCCCGCCTCAAATTTAACATCTCTTCAAGATGAGGGCAGATCAATTTCTCCTGGTCCTTCCGAGCAATAGCAGCATGCGTTATTTCCCGAACAATACAACCGCGTCATTCATTACGGAATTACCGCAAACTCTACACTTGCACGGCGAATGGGAAGTCGCGCTCAGCGAGATTCAATTTCCCGCTACTTTTTTGCACATAAATCACGGCGAAAATGTCATCAGTTTCGTCGATATTAAAAAAGATCGAGCACTAAAGAAGGACGCGCCGTACTCGTCGACGGAGGGCGTAATACCGAATGGTATTTACAAAAATATCGACGAACTTATCGCCGTGATCAATAAGGAGTTTAAAAATGTCGATTCGCATTTTTATTTGGAAAACACCCCCGGCGGTAAAATCTACTTTAGCGTTATCTGCGGGGACGAGTGCGAGCTGATTCATCATATGAGCGTTTCCGATAATCTTCTACAAATACTCGACGTCGGGTATGTCGTGACGAACGCAGAGGGCCTTAACCATACCACGCTCACGGCAACTAAACCCAATTCCAAAGAAACTTTTACAGCGCATTTTATCAAACTCGGTTTTAAAACCGCGCAAGGCGCTCGTTATACTAATTTCTTTTCTCGCGAGCCTCATGGTTTGTCGCGCGGAATCCCCGATAAACTCTTCGTTTATTGCGATATTTGCGAGCCTTATATAACGGGAGATGTGCAAACTCCCCTTCTCCGAATAGTACCGCTCGAGTTGCATGATCACAGTCATTATTACACCTACGCGGCGAATCAAGTGGTACATTTCGCCGTCCCGGATTATATTCCATTACGACAAACGAATTTCCGCAGAATTGAAATAGATATAATGGATCAACTTGGAAAAAGATTTCCATTCCAATCCGGAACGCTGACGGTGACATTACACTTTAGACGTTTCCAGTAACAGCATCCCCCGCAACGCCGCGCGCGCGCACGCGCGAAAGAAGATATAGAATAAGTTCCGCGCCATGGCGGAGTACGAGTATTACGACACGCTAGGCAATCGGCGAGGGGGAATTCCACGCGTTTTCGTCGGGGCACCGTATCAACGGGGGCACGGAATCGGCAGTTTTCTCGGGGGGTTATTCAGGAAGGTACTTCCCTACCTGGGTAGAAGCATCCGCGCGGTCGGCAAAGAAGCTTTGCGCGCGGGTGTTAATGTGATCTCGGATGTCGAAAATAATACTCCGTTGAAGGAAGCGGTCAGAATGCGACTCAAGGAATCGGGTAGAAATCTCAAGAGAAAAGCCAAAGAAAAAATAACCAGCCTGATGACGGGATCGGGATATAAAATATCCGCGAAAACTCCGGCGCTTCAGTTTCCCTTCGACACTCTCGACAGTCGCGTCGCGTCGACTCTACGTAAACAGCAGCGTCGTCGTCGTCATCACCGTCGTCGACAAACGAGCGGGAAAAAATCCGCGTCGTCCGGGCGGAGGAAAAGAACGAGCATAAAGTCGACAAGGAAGAAAAAAAAACCCCCGCGTCAGGTAGAAAGGCTAAAAAATCGGCTGTCGGGGTCGCCGCTACGAGACGTCGGAGGGCCAAGAGCAAACGCAGTGTATCCGACATTTTCTCTTAACCGTTGCACGGACTAGGAATTTTCAGTGAGGAGAGGGGATAAGCATGTCCTTTCTTCACACTCACTCGAGCGAGTGCCTAAAGAGCGAACTCGATCTCTTTTCTTTACCCCCCACGCAAACCAGCATCGAAAATTCACAATGGATTTATTACAAACCCGTAACATCGCTAGCGGACGACACGCCTATAGAATTCGTCATACCCGATCACGGGGAAGACTACCTCGATCTCACTCACACTATGCTGAGTCTTCGCATACGCGTAGATTCTTCCCCTCTAGCGGGCGGAGGAGGAGTCGCCGGTACAGCCGGCACCGTCGAGTACAAAGCAGGCCCCGTAAATCATTTATTACACTCCATGTTCAATCAAATCGACGTGTACTTCAATCAAAAGCTCGTGTCACCCCCAAACAACGCTTACGCATACCGCGCGTACATCGAGGCGCTATTAAACTATTCTTCACCCGCGAAAACGTCCCATCTAACCGCCAGTCTGTGGGAGGCGGATACACCCGGTTTAATGGACGCGCTCCTAGACTCGACCACCCCAAATCAGGCTCTCGTGAAACGCTCTAGTTTCATTCAAAACGACCACGCGTTAGATCTCCTAGGCCATCTTCACTGCGATGTTTTTAATCAGGATAAATTCTTAATTAACGGAGTGGAAGTTAGAATGAGACTCGTTCGCTCGAAAGATTCGTTCTGTCTCATGGAGAGTAATTCGTTGTCGAAAATACACATTCTAGACGCCAGTCTGCTCGTGAGAAGGGCGAAAATAAGACCCGGTGTGTTACTCGCGCACGCGAGAATGCTGAGCAAAACCACCGCCAAATATCATCTCACGAGAGTCGAAGTCAGAACATTCACGATTCACGCGGGAC